AAGTCTGCCCCAGCAAAGACTTTCTCCTTCAGGTGCCTCAGGTCTGCCTCATAGCTCTCTGCTTCAGGATGACCTTTAGGGTAGCCTTTGGGGAGGAGCGGGGGGGGGAAACAAGTGAAACCCTGGTGGTTGGGATAACACACTAGAAATTAGAAAGTAGCCAATCTGATCGTACTGTCACTTACAGCCCAGGTCCAGAGAGGGACTGCTGAGCTGACTTCCCTATCTCAGACCCTAGCCCATACTCTGCAATGAAAGACATTTACCTGCCACACAGATGTCAAAGTAATCATCAAATTCATTGCGAATGTGCTTAACGAGGTCAACAGCATAGTTGAAACCATCTACTTCTTCCTCCCATTCCTCACCAACAGGATCTGAAAAGAGAACAAATCCACAGCTCTCTCCAACTGTTTGCTGGACTCAGATCTGCTAGTTCTGTAAAAACCTCCTGCTATCAAAAGGAAGACAAAGATGAAATCCCCAAGTTTGCAGTTTTACCCATGGATTGCTTTTGTCTACCCTTGAGCTGGAGGGACTGCTAACAAGGGGATCAGGTGAAATACAGTCTCAACATTTAATTCCTGCAGCGGAAGGAGCCTCTAAATCTTATTTCTCCATTTTTACCCTGGAATTGAATGCAATAGCAATACAGCCTCAGCCCTACGCATCATAGGACAAAAGGATTCACCTCCACGCAATGCCATGATGTTCTTCAACCCGAGCCGCTTGGCCTTCTGCAGATGCCCTGTGATTTCATCCTTGGTCTGATTGCAGCATGTCATGTGCAGGATGGTCTCCAGGCCACAGTAGTTGACTGCAGTGTTGGCAATAATCATGGAAGAGGTTTCCTTGTCAGATCCTGGGTCCCCTGCAGGGTGCCACGTCACATCAACGAAGAGTGGACCACCTGCTCCCATGCGGTCAAACCTGTGGATTTTAGAGCTGTGTTAGCCTACCAGGTAGACAACTCTCCTCTCTATGCCTGGGATATCTTGCTCACTGCTGGAATGCCAGCAACAGACAGAGAGAGCTTGGATGACAGCAGCAGGAGAGACCAAGAAAAGTGTTGGACTAGGAGTTTAGCAAGTGGCCAATGTAAATAAGCAAAGTCATCCTTTAAGGCTGTATGAGGAAGAGCTTACAATCTCTTTGAAGAAGAGGCAACTTAAGCGTTCTCTGTAGAATAAACTTCCTCACAGCATGCTCTATTAGACTGATATGCCTTCTGATAGACAGTAATGCAAGTCCCATTCCTTTTGAGATGGGAGACTATGCTGCAAACCCCTGTTCCCAGCTTTAACTGTAGAGGCCACAAATATGAAAAGATGGACCAGATCTCTGTTGTGTTCCCAAGTGTGCCTAACAGAAGAGACAAAGGCTCCCCTAACTTGTCTGTCTCTTGCTCTGGGTTGGAACAGGCCCTTCTGTTTAAAGTAAACCTGGCCCTGGCATACAGCAGTTACAAAAAGAGTTATGAAACTCCCTCTTCTCCCGGTGAGTACATGGTGGCTCCTGTGGCTCCCCTCTAGGCTCCAGGATAACCTTTAGCTCTGCTGAGAACTATCACCTTTCATTTAGCGTGGAGATAGGGGACACCTCTCTCAGAGGCTAAAACTGTAGTCCTTGGTAATACAGAGGCACAAACCATAGTGGCTGGATGATTCTGAAAGCTAGTGGGAGTCTGTGTTCCAGAGACTTTGGCACACTGCCCATCAAGTAATATTTTCTGCTTTTAGTAGGTACTTTCCTGCTCTGTTGTCCCCCAGCACTCTGCTTCAGCCCCAGAGCATGACAGTGGGGTTGCTCCATCTTCACAGAGCATGGGAGAGGGGAAACAGTCTGGCCCCCTCAGTAACCCCACCATGGCACTTAACTCTTCAGGGCCTCCAAGGAAGACAAGTTACCTGGTGTCCATTACCTTCCTCGGCAGGAAAAAAAAATGCTTCGTCACCTGGAAGGGGAGACAGAGCATGGGGCAGAGCCTGCCTCATTAGCTATTTCCCAGCCCTCCACCAAAGACACTTCATCTCTCCCCTCTCCCACCCTGCAGCCCTCACCTGGAGATGAGATTGACAGCAGCATTAGCTGTGCGTGGAGGGAAGAACTCCAAGGAGAACCACTTGTCTCCAGAGTCCTGCCGTCGGCGCATCTTCTCCCGCAGTCGCTCATGACGGTCAGCATCAAGGACAGGGGTAGAGCAGCGTGAGCTGTCCTTGGAGCTCTCGCTCCCGCTACTGCTCCCACCATCAGACTTGGAGCTGGAACTGGCACTGCAGGTATGCTGGGTCTCATTGACCATGGTGAGCTCTCTGGAGGAGGGGAACAGAAGGAGCACAGTGGGTACAAGACAGGACACAGACCTCAGCAAGAAGCAGGTACAGCTGGGGTGGTCAGCAGATGATGAAAAAGAAGCCTGTGCCAAGACCCAACGTTAATCATCACCAAGCAGTCCCTCTTGCCAGCCCTTGCTATAAGCAAGTGGGGGATCTGGAGAAAACACAATAAAAAGCATGTGTTTAGATAGTGCTGAGAGAAATACACAGCAGATGGCTTCATGCCACTTTGATGCAGCTCTTCTGTGCCTGCTGGGTCAAATTTGGCTCTCTTCTGAGTTAGGTCAACATCACTTTTGCCCTGACTACAACTTAACAAGCCGTGATACCCACATGCATCAGGTGAGGGCCTCTTTCATCTTGTGGCCTTGGGCTGGAAATGCCAGCAGATTTTTTTTTTTTCTTTCTACAGCTTCTTGGACTGTATCCATTTTCAGAGTTTCCATTCTGTTTGTTCCCAAGCGGCAGCGCTTCTTTACAGTGTAGGTAGGAGAGCAAGTGCTAATAGGGCAGGTACACAAGAATGCACAAACTATTCCTATGTCAGAAAAAAGTGAAGAATCCCCTCTGATCAGGTGTCCTGGTTTCAGGTGGGATAGAGTTAATTTTCTTCCTAGTAGCTGGTACAGTGCTGTGTTTTGGATTTAGCATGAGAATAATGTTGATAACACACTGACGTTTTAGTTGTTGCTAAGCAGTGTTTATACTAAGTCAAGGACTTTTCAGCTTCCCATACTCTGCCAGTGAGGAGGTGCACAAGAAGCTGGGAGGGAGTATAGCCAGGACAGCTGACCCAAACTGGCCAAAGGGATATTCCATACCATATGATGTCATGCTCAGTATAGAAACTGGGGAGAGTTGGCCAGGGGGCAGCAATCGCTGCTGGGCATCAGTCTGTGGGTGGTGAGCGGTTGCATCACCTGTTGGTGTGTGTCCCCCCCGGGTTTTGTTCCTCTCTCTCTCATTGTTTTACTTTCCATAACAATTTATTATTGTAATTATTATTATTTTATTTCAAGTATTAAACTGTTCTTATCTTAACCCATGAGTTTCCTTACTTTTGCTCCTCTGATTCTCTCCCCCATCCAACCGGGGGGTGGGGGGTAAGTGAGTGGCTGTGTGGTGCTTAGTTGCTGACTGGGGTTAAGGCTGGGGTTAAACCACGACATCAGGCCATCCCCACAAATACTGTCCTTTGTTTTGTCTTTGCTGGCATCAGACAGTTGCATTTCTAACCATTAGCCTTCCACAAGACACCATCTCCACAGCCAACTGTCCCTGCGCCAATACCACTGCACACACTCGGCTCTTTCCTTTACTACATATGCTGTTCATGTTTCTTTCCTCACCAATTGTGGCTGCGTGGAAACAAGGTCAGCAGAGACCATTCCCTTCTCCCTGCCTTGCAACAGGATCAGCTGTGCTTGCTTGGCTTCACAGAAAGGAAAACAGCACTGCAAGTCAGTGGTACAAGTGGGTCTAGGATGCCCAACTCCACTTAGCTCCCAAAAGTGTTTCACCCTATGCCTTTAAAATTAGGTAGTGATTACAGATAATTAGAGAAGAGCTACCATAACATTTGGATCTGTGTTATTTACTTATGTACCTGCCAAAACTTAAAATTTTCACTGGGAAGCAGCATGTTGTCTGAGCATTACGTAACACTGGAGCCTGTTTTGGAGGAAATGGTTGTGCGAGCTAGTGCACACTTTGTCCTTATCATAAGCTTTGTGGGTTTAGGTCATCCAAGAAGACTTTGAACTCATCTTCTACTGTTTACACTGAGCTGCCAATCAAGCAAAACCCTTTGGGGGAGAAAGTCTACTTTTACCACCTGAGGATGTCTCCAGCTGGCAGGAGATACAAGAAAGGAGCACAGGCCTTCTGCTGCCAAGAGGAACTGGGAGTCTTAGATCTCCTGTGTACCAACATAGCGGGCCATGGTAGAAATCAGCAGCAAAGACCTATTGACAAGTGAAGCAAAAGCAACCGCGTGCACAGTAACAGCCCTGACCAAGCTCCCTCAAAGAACTTCGCCTGACATCCACGTGGCACTAATCTGGGAGAATTATCCCAAAGCACATGTTGGTGATCAAGCTAGCGGTACAAAATCACGTATGGGCAGCTCCCAATATCTTGCTTCTAGCAAGCATGCCACAGCACCGTAGGCAAATCAAAGGATCTCTGTTTTCCCACTTGAGATTTAACACCCATCACAAGGGAAGGGTTCACATATTAATGTCTCTATAGGATGAGACTCGCTGTTAAGGAAAGGTCCTTATCTTACTGGCAATCGTGAACTACAAAGTCAGGAGAAAGGCCCTACTGAAACTTTGTCTACAAGCAGCATTTGGAACAGTTTCCTTACCGTCAGATGCATCACAGATCTGCTGGCAGAAGCTTGCAGTTATTACAAAGAGAAAAAAAGATTTTCTAAACAAAAAACCAGTTGCAAAATAAGACAATCTTAAACACCCATCAGCTCCGTTGGGTCAGCACTCCTGCTGCTCTGTCTCTACCACGCTGCAGAGCTCCGAGCAAAGATCTGTGGCCCAGCACGTTGATGCTGATCAGCGCGGATGTGCCCGTTGTGTTTATGTGATGCTGGTGGTGCCTATTTGCTTCCCTGTAGGGTATTTTTACTGCTTCCAGGCCTGAGCTGACACCCCCACACACAGAGGTCTGCGTCCTCCTAAGCTTAGTTTTACCACCCAAGCTAAACTCGGCTGCACAGACGTACGCTTCACACGGGGCACGCACGCCTGCAAGGGACTTGTCCAGGGCCTTGCTGTCCTGGGCCACGGCATCGGGCTGACAGCCCGACGGGGCAGAGAAGGGGACCGCGGCCGGATCTACTGCCTGGCCAG